ACCAAAGCAATGCTTCTCAACTAGGGGTACTAGTACCCCTTTAATAATAACGTCTGTTGGTCTTGCACTCCTCTAAACTAAACGTTTAATGACGTTACTATCGCAAAAGCTGTTATTACTTTAATTGGCAACTTAATTGGACAGTGACCTCATAAAGCATTTCTTGCAGGAACGAAAACATCCGGCGGAAAATTAGAATGATGTAAATAGAAGCATTTATGGGCTCCAACAAACATAAAACCTCTTCACAATCCCTTTCTTAATGCAATGTGGGAAAGGACACCGTTTGGAAGTTTTTATTAGTCACCTCAGTGACCCACATTCCAACAACAGGCCTTCAAACATGTAACCATATCGTGTATATGCGCCATATGTTACACGACATCCAGTCAAATCTTTTCAAAAGAATACAATATGTAACACGACGTCCAGTTGAATCTTTTCAATAGACTACAATATGTAACACGACGCCCAGTGGAATCTTTTCAATAGTTTACAATATGCAACACGACGTCCAGTTGAATCTTTTCAATAGTCTACCATATGTAACACGACGCCCAGTGGAATCTTTTCAATAGACTACAATATGTAACACGACGCCCAGTGGAATCTTTTCAATAGTTAACAATATGTAACACGACGTCCAGTTGAATCTTTTCAATAGTCTACCATACGTAACACGATGTCCAGTGGAATCTTTTCAATAGTCTACCATGTGTAACACGACGTCCAGTTGAATCTTTTCAAAAGTCTACCATATGTAACACGACGCCCAGTTGAATCTTTTCAATAGACTACAATATTTAACACGACGCCCTGTGGAATCTTTTCAATAGTCTACCATATGTAACACGATGTCCAGTGGAATCTTTTCAATAGTCTACCATGTGTAACACGACGTCCAGTTGAATCTTTTCAAAAGTCTACCATATGTAACACGACGCCCAGTTGAATCTTTTCAATAGACTACAATATTTAACACGACGCCCTGTGGAATCTTTTCAATAGTTTAAAGTATGTAACACGACGTTCAGTTGAATCTTATCAATAATATATAATATATAACGCGATGTCCTGCAACTTTCAAGAATGCATTCAAATTGTAGCGATATGTCACATGCCTCTCATGGAGCGTCTCTGAGGGTTCTACCAAGAAAATTTTCGAAAAAATTCAAATGATTTGGTGCATTCTGACAAATATTTTGGGGCCAAAACATATCAAAATCATATTTTTTAAACTTGTTAATAATTGATTGTGGTTGCAACCCATTTCCCTGTATCCCCACTCGTGCCGCCCCTGTTTACGATGGAACTAAGTCTCTGTCATTATCCTAACTTTTGAATGGTTGTAAAATGGATCAATACTAGAGAAAAAATTAACACTTTAAAAAAAAATAAAGGTGAAGAGAAGCTTTTAACAAATGCCCAGTTATTTAGGTTTTGATCTTTAAAATCATTTTATATGCACGTTGTATCTGAACGCTGACCAATGAAAAGATTTACAAGAAGCATGCGGGTATATATTGTTTTATGGAGTTTGCGTTTGAGTTTGAGTTAGAATTACAATCTTATCAACACAAGGACATTTTAAGCCGACTAGCAATACTATTTTGAGACTGATTTTCAAATTCTCTTAAAAAATGCGGGAAAAAATCAAAAAAACTTCTTGTATTAACAGACAATATTGTTTTTCATCACTTTTATACTTGACCAGTTCAATCACTGCCTTGTTTCATCATTTTTAACTTGACAAGTTCTATCACTGTCTTGTTTCATCACTTTTAAACATGATCAGTTCTATTCAATTGGCCATTGCCTTGTATTGTTTCCAAAGATTAGGTTTAACGGTAACCCTCGTATGTTATCGTGGCTTTCTTCAGGCTTTTGATTTGTCAGATATTTTTAAGAAAGACTTTTTGTAGCACAACCTTGAGATTACTTTTTCTCACCTGGAATCTATTCCTATATGTTATAGCTAACTAAAAATCCATGTTCCCACTTTCAGAAAGTGCCACAACTCCATATTTCAGCTTTTAAAGATGCGCATTTTTATTTGATTTTTATACAAATCTAGAACTTTAATGAGCTATGAAAATATTCTGAGACTCTGTGAGGCATGAAACATTCAGGATTTGTTGAATATATGGTGCAGTCTCCCCAGATTTTATAAATCAGTTAAAAAAAACAGTTAGTCAAAGGTAATAACAAAAATACACGCAACATTCATAAATGCTAAACTTGTAAAGGGAGATGATTCAAATACTTTCATTTAACACACATTCAGTTGCAAATATGAAATATTATGACTGTTAGTTATACTAAGAGACAATTTACTAGTTATATTTCACATTTACTAGTCTAGAATAGTCTTAATACATCAAAACATTGAATTGACAAGATCCATTTCCATCCAAATAATTAATGAATTGTCATTCACAACATTCCATGTGACTCGGCTTCAAAATGTTGTTGACCATAACGCTATGTAGGCGATAAAGGGAGAGAAGGGGTATGAAGAATTCTCAGATTTTATAAATGGAAAAGATCTGTCCACAGGGGATGAGCCAACTTCTTAAGCAGTTAACAAGGATGAGCACATTCACGACTTGATAGCCACTGCCCTAACAAACAAACTTACACCATTATGCATCAAATAAGACCTTTACGAACAATGAAAATCTGGGAGACGATTGCTTCTCTGGAATCAATGATGACTAGATACCAATTGAACTAAACAATTCAAGTTAGATATACGTGTTTTACAAAATACCTGTAAGTTGTAGTCCAGCCATGAATTCTGTTTTATACAATGTGTACAACTACCATCTATGTATTTAACTTCTGTAATTTGATGTATACTTCTCCATTGGGATTTTTAGATATATAATTTTCTTTATCAGTAACAATTTGTTTTCATCAATCTTGAATGTTTTCTCATATAAATAAGCTTCTGAACCAAACCTGAAGAAAATGGGCAATAAATAAAGTTTATGTAATAATCAAAATATTTAACACATTAATATTAGAATATACAGAATACTGCACAAATTGTTTTTTATATTTCTATTGCAACCTGTTCTATGGGACAAAATTGCTTAGGAGTTTCTGTGACAGTAAATAAATGTACAACAGCTCTATAACGGTGAATATGGCTTCGTTTTTTATGTAGGCCTACATGAATTAAGAATTTACAATCAAACTCAAAGTTGTGATTGGTTGCTTAGATATATTATTGATAAAAACTTACATAAATTGTTATTTTCATAACAGGTAGTAGCTTTACCTATAGCCCACACGCATTTAAAAACCATATAAGGAGCAACCCTTCCAACACTCGGGTAAATCTTAATAATTTTTTAAATAAAATATGTCATCAGATATAATGCAAGCACGGTCCCTACGAAAAAAAAACGAAAGTTGGCATAACGCAGACACCACAATTTTGAGTAAGCCTAATTAATACAACGATATTGACCTTACTTTTGGCTATATATGTGACATTTTCAGAAAACAATCTATTTAAAACTGCATATAAATTTTACAATTAATCAAAAGCTAGAAGTATTCCAGATTTTCTAGTAAAAATTCCCAAACCAAAAATGTTATCAAACCAACATCGTGTGAAAAGTCCACTTTCATTTTCTTACCTGCTAATATATCATTCTGCATTTCTCTTTTCCCCGCGCTCCAGATAAATACATTCTTTGTAAAAGATACGCCTCTTGTCCAACAAGTTTCCGAAAATTGAATAACTTTGCATGATCTTTCGATTCCGGATGAATTGAACACTTCATTTTGTCGGTCAGATTGTTTACAGAAAGTTGACCTCGTCGAACTAGAAAAGGTCAACCAGCGGAGCTATATATAAGAATAACGTCATTTGATTGGTTTGATATCGGTCTGATATTGAGATGAGAGGTGAACAGGTCACACTCTCGGCAAGAGACGCGAATATTTAAATTCCATATTTTCAGCTTGGGAACATGGATTCTTGGCTTTAGCATTACAATATCAACAAATTTATCTTGAAATTTTTTAATCCCCCTAAAATTTTATGGAGTGAAACGATGCGTACAGACAGTCCATGGTATACACGTCCTGTTGAATCTTTCGTAAGGTATAAAGTATTTGTGGTCTTACCAAATCATTAAGAGTAGCGCCCCTTTATTTATTTGCATGTAAGCTTTGATGCAAGAAATTCTCATTTAACTATCGCTGTATTCTGTAGTGAGACTCTTTATAACTGTCCGCGTGGTATTTACAAGGATGAATAGTGCGACGAACACATTTAAAGGGAAATATTGTGTCCGGCTCAATGCCAAGAAAGATTATTATTTCATATGTATCTGACTTGATAAATACTTCCATATAATCTTTTCATTTCCCGACTTCAATCACCGTACTTCTTTGGTTCAAAACAACTTTCTCGGATGCAGACAAAGTGATCTTCTGCATATCTGTCACGAAATCAGTAGTTTTGCAGTGATTGGCAATGTGCAGATCACAAGGGAAATGAAATAATGAATGAATGATAACAAATTTATCGAACTCTTAACACAACGTAAGTAAACGTCTGTATTTAAAACCTTTTGTCAAACTACGTTACATTACATTTTTCCGTTTCTTAGTAAACATGGGATTAAAGGGATGCATGTGTCGAAAAAATTCTGTTTACCAGCTTAAGCGCCAAGATCCACCTTCTCCCCTGTTTTTTTTTAGAATGAAGATCTAAAACAAGAGTGTCTTAATTCAATCCAAATCACTTCTATAGTCTAAATAAGAAATTTTGATTTTAGATTTGATCAAAGTTTGGAAATTGAGATCAAATTAAACTATCGGAACATTGGCGTTTTGAATTCCTTTCTGTTAATTGTCGGCTAAAAACCCGGAAGCTAGCGGACACGCTATTTAACCGGATGGTAAGGTGAATAATTCGACGGGTAGATCCCTTTTATACCTCGAAAAGATATTCGTGTAACATACGGGTCAGATTGGAAAAGATGTGGACTTACCAGGTTTGCGTTACAACAATATTATTATTTGGGGCGTTCGTATCTTCAGTAGTAAAAGGTAAGAATTTTGCCCCTTTTCAGACTTATCGTGCTATCAATTCCCTCCTTTCAGACGAGTTCCCTTTGTAACAGTAAAGGTGCTTGCAAGCATGTGCACAATATTACATTTTCATCAGTTGAGTTGATAAATAAGTTATGGGAATAAATAAAAAAATTGACTTTATTATCACAATAATTTAAAGAAATATTATCAGAAAAGTTGCTAATCATTGCAACGTTTTAAATGTCCGTGGTCAGAAATGTCTTTTTGTCACTGATTTTATATCGGGCTGTTTGTTTTGTATGTTGCTATGTATCCTCTTATCGCTACTTTCCTGTTTTTATGGTTTGATTTGTGTTTTATTTGCAGATAAAAATACATATACCCATAATGATTATACCAATGTGAATATTGGTAACAAAAATGAGAGAAGAGACAGCCAACAAAGCCTTAACTTGTCGATCGTTTCAACTCTACCAGAAATCGTGGAGAGAATTAATTCTATAGTGAATCACTCACAAGGAGGAGATTGGGTAAATGCAATAGATGAACTTATCAAGCAGGTATCAGATCGCTTAGAACATGGACACATAGTGCCAGAACCACAGATCGCTTATCCTGGAAAACAACTACCTATAAAAGAGAAGCGTGGACCAAATCTGTTAAAATTACTTGGTATAAGAAATATCAAATCCGTCCAAGCTTATCAACATCAGAATAAAGATAGAAATCAAAAGCCAGATCTTCCATACCATAAACATCATTTATTTCATAAATTAATTGCAACACTTCAGCAGTTTGGTAAATTTCGTAATCAACTTTCAGACTCAAACGGATCAACTGAAAATGGCATGTTTATAAAAAGTCGAGACAAATTAAGGTCTGGAAACGAAAATAAATTGCATAGATTATTACAGGGAGTACACCCCGTGGATAATCTACAGAGTTCCATACTAGAGGGGAATGGTGATCATTCTGGTAACGAACTCGGAGTTTTACTGCATGGACCAGGCAGGCACAGATTTCCGAAACCGGCACAACACGGAATAAGAAACAGTACCAAAGAGGGATTGCACCCCATGGAAATTCTACATAGTTTTATACCCGATGTGAACGGTAATAGTTCAGGGAACATGCTCGCCATTTTACTGCATGGACCAGGTCCGCATAGATTTCCCCATCCTGAACAACACGGAAATCGAAAGGGTACCAAACAGGGATTACGTCCCAGGGAAAATCTACATAGTTTCATATCCGAGGGAAACGGAGAAATGTCTGGTAACAATCTTGACGTTTTACTGCATGGACCCGGTCCGCATCCCCATCCTGAACAACACGGAAATCGAAATGGTACCAAACAGGGATTACGTCCCAGGGAAAATCTACATAGCTTCATACCCGAGGGTAACGGAGAAATGTCTGGTAACAATCTTGACGTTTTACTGCATGGACCCGGTCCGCATGCCCATCCCGAACAACACGGAAATCGAAATGATACCAAACAGGGATTACGTCCCAGGGAAAATCTACATAGTTTCATACCCGAGGGTAAAGGAGAAATGTCTGGTAACAATCTTGACGTTTTACTGCATGGGCCAGGTGGTCATGGAAAACCCCACCCTGAACAACATAGGGACGGTACCGAGCAAGGGTTAAATAGAAACCCTAATAGAAATCCTGGAAGAGATCATCCACATCGCAAGCATGGAATAGATATAGATAAGCTAACACCTACACAACTACATAGTCTTCTCCAGTATCTCAGAAAACTTAAAGAATCTAACGGCAGGGCAACTTTTGAACCGAAACTACATGAACTGTGTTGTATTGTGGGCTAATACCCATTCAGTCAAAGGAGAAATAGTGTGGTCTGGTGGATATTGTACATAATTGAAAAAAGACATGTGTAGAGTTTGGTCGTTGTTTTAAAAGTGAAACCTTGCCTTATTTGCCACCATTACTTGGGTTGTCAATTGACTACTTCAAATTTTCAATCAATTATCATTCGTTGTTTCATATCTGTAAGCTATTTGAGTCTACACAGTCCAAACAATTTTTCGTTTGTTTATCAAATAGAACAAATAATAACAAATTGATAAATAGATAGCTCTTATCTAATGTAATAACTATAAAAGATAAATATATCGGGTGGCCCAGAAAAAACGATAATACTTTACATTCCAAGATTACACCCATTGACCATCATAATATTTTGACCTATCACAAAAATTAGCTTAACTTTATTTTGGTGAAATGTTGTCTTATATCTATGTAAATATTAGCCTGACAAATCTGTCTACCCTTTCCTCGGACGTGATATACGGATGTGATATCAGCACGCTAGACATAAAATGTTTCTTTTGCTCCGATTCCCTTTTGGTTCGCTAGTTTTTGATAATTTTCACCAGGACAAAGACAAAAGCACAATTTGGTGCTTTGTATACAAAGCTGTACCATTATTGAGTCCATCAAGACATTGCTGTATATTCGACAAAACCTCCGTGCTCCACACGGTACCAAAACAGGGATAGGCTTAAATTATGGAGTTATGCGAAGACTTTGAGGAATTGGTAGGGCCAAATTTTCTATATAAATAATAGGTCAAAATATTATGGCCATGGCCTCGATACTTCATATATAAACATAAAAATTAATGTGTAATATCTGTTACTCTTTTTTTGCCACCGGATATATTTAGCTCCATTTCTGATATTGCCCTCATTATTTTATCAAAGCTGATAATTTCAATGATATACCTACTTGACATTTCCTGTGCTTTTTAAGAAATAGAAACACGTGTTGGCTGCTCCACATGTGTCAAGATTTCGTGACATGTCAGCGATGTCTTTGATTATACAGAATGTACCTTGATAGAAACATTAACCAATGTTGATAAGTATGCTCATGTTTCCTAACTGACTCTCACGCACTTTTTACACTTTATTGGCGTCTTTTGTCATCTATCTCTAGAATACACTCCATAAATGCATATCAATGGATAATCTAGTTAAAATTAGATTACCATTTCGTTTCTTTTCTTCTGAATTATTTTTATCGCCATAGTAGACAGAAACATCAGTCAAAAGGAACGACATTGTAGTCTTATTTTAATTAGATTGATCGATGGGTGGGTAGGTGACTTCCTTATGCTGAAATGTTAATTTAGATGCCAACTGACGTTTTTTAGGGGGAGGGGGCGAGAACCACTGGCAGTTTCAAGGATATATTCTGAAACTATATCCACCAATAGAAAATATGATATACAAAGTTAACCGGTCTACGGCAGCAACAATAGACATAGGCATACTAACCCAGATTTGATAATCAAATAATATTATGTCTACTGATAATAATGATAATGTTTTAACGATAATTAACCTAATGACCATTAAGTACGCCGCACGTTTTGTAATATCATTTGACAAAACAACCACCATGAACACGTATTGCATTATTGTCATGTCAATTTCCATAGCTTCAACTATAGCCAAACCTGTCACACCTAGAGCTTCATCAGGTAAGTGTAAATTTTTCATTGATGGATCTTGAATAAGTCAAATTGACATTGCCGACACGTGCAGTATATATTAATGTGAATTGAAGTCTCCATATCTTTCTGCATGGGACGTCGGAGAGATAAAAACAAAACAATTATCACCAGAACAATTGTTTTGACTGTTTGAAAAATTATCCCTCAATTAAAAAAGAACAGTTTGCGTCCCAAATCTTTCGTATTTCCATTACTGCACTGTGGTGGATAGCGTTAGCTAGGCATGGCAATAAAGAATACGACGTTCAACGCATTCTTCTGTAAGTCATATCAATACCCTACGGTGGCTTGTATACGACATCGTTTTACTTTTTAATTTTGAATTAAAAAACTGGAATATAATTATAAAACATAATTTTGAATTAAAAACTTGTATTTTCACCCGGATGAAAATTAATTTTCACCCAGGTGATAATTCAATAATATTTAATTAAAAACTCATATCTTTCTGCATGGGACGTCGGAGAGATAAAAACAAAACAATTATCACCAGAACAATTGTTTTGACTGTTTGAAAAATTATCCCTCAATTAAAAAAGAACAGTTTGCGTCCCACCAGTTGTAAAATAGGAGTATGGAGCTTTCCTATGATTCTTTTCTGTTCTTGATCCTGCTTTGACACATGTGTTCTCAATACTAGTTATTACTCCTGAAAGAGACAACTTGCGGACAGTTCTTACAATGCTTTAGGTCCGATTCCATCACACAAAATGATATTAGTTCAATCAAAGTAACCTGATCGGCGCGTCAACTGGTGTGATATGTTCTATTTCGGTAGACTGTTTTATCGGTTAGGACCATAAAGTGTAATTTTCAAAACATCTTTCGTATTTCCATTACTGCACTGTGGTGGATAGCGTTAGCTAGGCATGGCAATAAAGAATACGACGTTCAACGCATTCTTCTGTAAGTCATATCAATACCCTACGGTGGCTTGTATACGACATCGTTTTACTTTTTAATTTTGAATTAAAAAACTGGAATATAATTATAAAACATAATTTTGAATTAAAAACTTGTATTTTCAATAATTCAATAATATTTAATTAAAAACTTGAATTTTCACCCAGGTGATAATTCAATAATATTTAATTAAAAACTTGAATTTCCACCCGGGTGAAAATAAACGTTTTTAGTTCAAAATTCTAGAATTATCACCCGGGTGGAAATTCAAGTTTTTAATTCAAAGTTATGTTTTATGATATTCCAGTTTTATAATGATGTCGTATACGAATCACCGTTATACCCCCTTTTAATTGTTTTTCTCGATTGTTATTTTGGTATCTATATTTATTACAGGGGTTTCAGAAAAAAAATCGGAATCACAAAAGCACAAGAGTTATTTAGTGGAGTTTTTCAAGAGACACAATAAACAGGAACTGGAAGACTATTCTTGGAATGTAGATCATGCAACATCTGTGGATGAAATTTCATCCCATATCAAAGACATTCCATCGTGGCAGCTGAGGCAATTGCTGGAAAGCATCAAATCAAACAGTGACAAAATATATCAAAAACTTGTAACATCCCGACCGCCATATGCACCGTCTACAGCTAGAATTTCTTTATTGAATATGTGTTGTCCGATATGACATTTCATAAAGTATAAAACTATTTTTTGAGTTGATTGTTCACCGGGCATGAAATCATTTTTTGAAGATATTGATTTGATCACCAAACTTTAATTAGTAACTGATATTTCGGGAAAGATCAATGTCAAGAGGATCCTCATGAGCATGAGTGGTTATGAAAAATGATTGTTTCTTGGTTTGAAAATAAGAGGTGGAGGCTTTTCGTTCTCAATTTCAAGGTTTTCTTTTAAACGTCAAACCACACATAAAAAAAATGTACCAACTTTCCGAACGAATTCCGAAATTCAAAATAACTTAAATAAATAATATTGCAGCTTTATGATGAACTGCAGCAAAAACAAAAATCTATCTTGGATTCTATGTTTCATTTAATTTGTGGTACATTTCCCAGTTATGTTCCATAGAAGTTGATCATACGGTATACTGCGGACTATACTTCTGTATAATAAGTTACGCAGAAGGGTTTGTTGTCTCTAGTAGTGGTATATTACCATTATCTTACTTTACCTTATCTTTTTTGTACCCCTCGCTAATTTCTAAAGCAGTGGTTGTCGACACACAAAATCCTAGGGAGGTTATCAAGAATTATTGCTAGACGAAAACAAGGGCATATTTTGTCTGTTTAAATCAATAAACTGATTTGTTCGTAGCTAAACCATCTTATAATAAACAAAATGATTACAATATCGTTTCTCTTTTGTTTTCTAATATTCTTCGTGTTCATAAAATAAACAAATTGTGGGATAGCGAAACCCAAAGTAGAACAATATAACAACCTCTTTGTATTTCGCTATCAAACAATTCGTTATGTTATCAAGGAACATGTTCTACTTGACACTTTCTGATTGGTTAATAAATAACGTCATTAGAACAGAACTGTGCTAGACATCGTGTTAGATTACAAAGGAAACTAAAAATATCAGAAAACAAAAAAGAAACGAAATTGTAATGTAATTTTAATTAGATTGCTTAATCATGTTCAATTTGTCTGATAAAATCTTGAAGGGGCTAGACAAGATAATATTTAATAGTAATACATTTGATCCGTATTCATAAACACTGTATTTCACACTAAATAATCTAAGGGAAACTGTAGACGAAGTACTAAAACACAATATCTTGAAGATACATTACAAAGTCCCCATTTCCTGTGATATTTAAACACAATATTTAAATCTATAATTGAACTACGTAACAAAAGAAATATGATAGGTTTAATAGTTAAAATATCTAGACAGTTATACGATTATCAAGTGATGTGAAATAATGTAAAAAAAAAATGATAAAGTCGTTACGGAAACTAATTGTTTATTGTAGCGGGAATCTTTCATTATCAATTTAACAGACTTGATTAATAGTTGATAATGAGAGACAGCGACACAATGAAGTTTAATATCAAACTCTTGTTAAGTCATTAACAATGTTCTAGATCATATTCCAAACCCTTTTGTATGAGATATTCCGGTATATGGGTGTTAATTACTAAGCGAGGGAGGGGGTCATTTCAAACCAATAAATTTCACTATTGCAAATACAATGTCTTGGATTGGATTTGAAAGAGCCTGTGTGTGATGTATCAGGGATTCTATATTTGTACCAGCCCGCTTCCGAGACTGCGATTCATATACATCCAGGAAAAAGACTGTACTATACGAAACAACATAGCTTTGAACCGTTATCAGCTCGGCATCCGCGGTTGTTCGACAAAATGACTAGACCAGATATATATCATGATGTCATGGCAAATTGTGTAAGCGATATTAACCACCATAGACGTCGGATTTGAAATCTGAATGGTACAAATAGACATGAAAAAGGCCAGTAAACTCCTATCGAAATCTATGTACTAAAATTGAAGTTATTAGCTTACTGCTAAAGTCCATGTTCTTGGTGGCAAAACAGAATCTTCTGCTATTGACGCGATGTAATGATTTGGATTTACAATCATTCTTTCATAATGACAACTGTTGTTATGATTGGGATATGCAACTGATCCATCATTATGACAACTGGTTTGAAATTAGGGGCTGGGGGTTAATATCCATAATATTAACTGATTGATTAGCAGTATATCAACGATTACTCTAAAACAAAAGTTTTATTTTTAATTCAAAATTATATCATTACATTGTATAAGTAAATTGGTATTGCAATTGACTTTAAAATCAAGGTGAATCCTTGTACATGACAGTTTGCAATCCGTTGCAGTGTAATTCAAGGGATTTCAAACTACGTTTCTGATACGTTATGTGGGTAGCCTTATTTGAACCTCGTAATTATTACTGGAAATTTATTTAAAATTGCACTAATGACTAAAAAGTCGACCTTCTTCGTCGTCTTTGTGGAAAGTTCATTTCCAATATTTGGGCAGCTTGATGATCCAATGATTTTTTACTCGATGACCACTCGTTTTCCATTATTTGACCATATTTAGTGTGATATACTTCGGTAAATTCTGGATTGAAATATCATATGGTTAGTGCTTCCATGTATAATATAGAATATGTCTCTAGACTTGTCATTATGGTGTATGGTGATTGAATAAGGGTAAGAAAAAATGGCGAAATCCCCCATCCGTATCTAATATCATGCATAGCCTCTTGTCCTGCAACAAATTAACCAAATCTTAAAGTTGGGATTCGTAGATTAGATTCTGCCTGTCTTTGTTTTAATCCCGAGAGTAAGGCAGCTAAATTATTCATCAGCATTTCTTGACGTTTTGATTTAGGCACTGAAATTATAAACAAATGGTTTAAGATATGTGATACAAAGTGGTCGCACTACTAATTTACAGAATACTGACCGTAACCTGGTCTTTGAAAGGTATTAGTGGTGAGAACCGACTCTCGGAAGCACTGACTTGGAAGGTGTTAGATTTGCCCGTCTTCAAAGAGCAATCATTAACTGAAACATTAACTAACACAAATTTAATTTAACTTACTTGCATGGTATTGTCTTAAAGTATTTAACATTGGCTCTGTATCTCGAAATCTCATTTTTTTTAATAAAATTTTCGTTAAATCTAAAAGGTAAATAAATTGAGATTAATTAATTAATTAATATTTCCTTAAAATGAATTCTAATTTTGTATTAAATGTTTCGTTTTAATATCAAACAATATATTTTGGCACATGTATTGTACTATTTTTCGAGAATTCTGTAAAAAGCGTATTTCGCTTTCTTCGTGGACTGACTACCGATCGTGAGTTTGGTAAGAAAATTATTTTTTTCTGAACCTAAACAGAAAAATTAATAGAATTCCAAATTTCAAGCGAATCTCAAACTCACCATCGTTAGGAGAACGTTTATCTGCAGCGTAGTGAAGCATTCGAAGATCTTCAGGTGAGAGAACCTGGTCCTCCGCCAGATCAGACGCCATGGTGATACCAATACACATAATAATGGCTATAATAGCCGGGTAATATCTTCTTATAACTTGAGGTATCATTCTAAATCTGAAATGACATGGGAATGATAACGAGGATAAATCACAGTAACAATTTACGGAAGTATTACAGAGAGCAGGGCTAACATTAGAGTCACTAAGTATCAAATGACCAGTCAATATTTTTAATATTAAACGTCAGTTACATCATAGTATACATCTGGGATTTTCAACCTTTTTATTTCTATTACCCATTTTAGGATCTTTGATGGATTGTATAATCGGATAATTAGCCTAAGGTTGAAAATCCCTGATATACATAAATACAATCTATCAAACCAACATAACCAAACCATCCAATTGATCCAGATCCAACGACCAACCATCACGACAACTAACTACTAATTAACCTGCGATATCTTGACCTTCGGCAACAGATATCAGATATATCACGAAGAACCTCAGAATAGATATCAAATAGCTTGGATAAAAAACAACTGCAGAATGGATATCAAACATCTTCAGAATAGATAACAAACATCTTCAGAATAGATAACAAACATCTTCAGAATAGATAACAAACAACTTCAGAAAATAAAACTAAGATCTTCAGAATAGATAACAAACAACTTTAGTATAGATACCTAACAACTTCGGAAAAGATAACAAACAACTTCAGAATAGATAACTAACATCTTTAGTATAGATACCTAACAACTTCAGAAAAGATAACAAACAACATCAGAAAAGATAACTAACAACTTCAGAAAAGATAACTAACATCTTTAGATTGGATAACTAACAACTTCAGAATGGATAACAAACAACTTCAGAAAAGATAGCAAACAACTTCAGAAAAGATAAATAACATCTTCAGAATAGATACCTAATTTCTGGGTTTTCTGTACAACTGTCACATAAGTTTATCATAAGTTCATTCAGAGATATTAGACATAACCGCTGCATGACAACTGACATTGACACTGGTCAACAACCTGTAGAAAAGTCCCAAATCTATGTCACAAGTACTGACATGTCTGATTGAGTCCAGTTCTATGTCAATATTATGTACAGTTATCTGTACAACTATACAATGTATTGATGTCTATGGATATAGTTTCTTCTCTCTAGATGGTATTAAATGGCGTGTGATGGTTGTGTTAATTAATCTGTACGACTAGTCATCAACTTAGTCTAATTAGCAATAATCATTCTGATTCTGAGTGAAAATAACACATTTCTTGTCAACATGCGACTCTTCAAATTAACATCTTCGTTCATGGTGGAGTTCAACTATATTCATGTGATAGTTATACTTTTCTGAAACCTTTTTAACAATAATGTAAATAATTCTAGCATCCTTTCCAACTGATTGATGAAATTAAATTAAAAATTATATCTGATTTAAACGCAGATCTTAATGTTTCGTCTTTTTTCTGCAGGTTACTACATCCATGATCTGGCGAGTAAATAATGATCTGTAGAAATATGACTAAAGAGCATCAAAGTTGTCATAATTTATGCCAAACAAAAAACGCCGATATTAATAAGTGGCTAGAAAAGTTCATGTTTAACCATGCATATCTTTTAAGAATTCACGATTCGTTAAATACCCCAAAACCAAGAGCTGCTTAACGATTCCGTTAGATCATGGATGCCAATCACCACCAAAAGAAAACGAAAAAAACAGATGATTGACTGAAATTGATTTTGAAAATAGTTCTTATGAGTCAATATGATAACAGTATCCTCCAAATTCTGGATTCTTGACATAATTCTTTTTTCCCCTTTACACAGAACTTCCATCTTACTAAAACAATTAATGATAGCTTTTACCCATAAAACTGTTCCAGCAGTCCTCGTGCCCTTTCAATCTTCATTGCGATATACCAGTGACCCTTTCATCCCCCTAGTCACCGTTTCTACTACCCTGTACAAACTACAAAAACCAAAGCCCCCCTCTGTACCCCCGTGCCCCAAAAAGAGAGGGGAAACACATCTATCGTTCATGAAGAAAGGGCAGGATGAAGATAAACATCCCTCATCCTCTCAAGCAATTGTGGCTTTTCTGACTCGCTTAAATACTTATATATATATATCCAAAGAGACTAAATCTGACAACATTAGTTGATCAAACATCTAATTCAAGATCTCGTTGATATAAAAATCAGTTCTATTTGGAAAACTACATTCAAAACCAATGTTAATATCTACCATTCCATTGCTCAAAGTTCGTTCTAAATAACAAACAAATGAATAGCAGCCCAGCATCAAATTTACCAATTCTATTTTTCTCTGAATATTACAAGTAAATGTACAAAAGAACTACTCAATATTATTTTCGAAGATCATTTGATTTTCAAATATATCATATAAATATTTTCACAACGCCTTAAGTTTAAGAGCTAAATGTTTAAAGCTATCATAAATGAACATGTTAAAACGGATGACAAACAAAACCCCCCAACAAAGCAAAAGGAGATTTCAATAAACGGACAATATACGAGAAGGTGATCTGATGCCTTAGTTGAACGGGGAAAATCATGTCTAAAAGAATTAAAATTTGTATGCAGACAATCGTCTATCTTCTGATTAGCAACCTACAATTCAATGGTGTTATGTGCCCAGCGAAAAGGTAGCATGAACACCATGAAAAACAAATCTCAAATCCAAAGAACTAGACGTAGCTTTGCGATCAACGACGATTTCCTAAATGTTCAATGTTCAAGTCAAAGAATACAATTTTAAAAAAAAAACAATGAAAATGTAACTTACGTTTCTGTAGTATTATGAAGGTATATTGAAATGAAAGAAATATGTTCTGTAAAGCAATATATACCAAGTAATAGTGTGATTGGTTCCCACTCGTTTCATTATTCATTAACGCTGCCAGTTTTATTGGCCTACACCTTCACAGGCTAATCATTGGCTGGACTTGATTGGCATAAATCATATATTATATTCTATGGATGTAGTTGGCTTTTCAGATTGATTCCGTCTGATCGGATGTTATGCAATCTACCCACCCACCTCAAATTTACTGGATAAATTATAATTGACGATAGTGAAACCACCCCAACAATAGGTGAATAGCACCGAATTGGTGCAACCACAGGGCAAATTTAATTTAAGGAAAAAACTTTCTGTAACCTTCTTATTTCCATTTGACAATGCCTATATATAGTTATATGTTTTATAGAATAGATGTAATATGTGTTTGCCTTACAATCTAATTAAGCATTCTCAAAGGAGTAATAATACTTTCAAATTTCCTAAATAAAACGACGTATTCCTTATCAAAACTGAAAAAACTCCATTAATAATTTCGCACAAAAAGCAAGTCCCAAAAATTTAAAACCCAAGAATTAAACTGAAAAACTGAAAATGTCCAGGAATAATTTTGCACGAAAAGTCCCAAAATTTAAAACCAAGGCTGTAATCTATCGCTTAAAAATCTAATACAATTGAATACCTGCTCCCAGATTGTGTACAGTAAAATCCTACTTCGAATTCACCAAATACATCTTTAATGAATGGCAACATAACAACGATTTAATGTTTCCCGGACCTATTTTATAATATTGCCTCATAGAAAATTGTTGAAAATCACAATCGAAATATTCCAAATATATATATTGGTAAACGATGACTGTCATGAGTATAATATATATTCTGTTATTCGAAACTTTTTAGAGCTACATCACATTATAGCATAATCGGTTTTTTTCCTTACACCTAAATAGAATAGATTCAATTCTTCTGAGATAAAGTATTAGCAAGGGAAAAGAAGATGTTTTGGAGTTCGAATGATTGACAGCTGAAGAAAATTGAAATGACAACATTAACCAAGCGGGGCTCAGGTCTCTGCATCCTGCCTGAATAATAACATGTTGTGTTATCTGAAACGTAATTTGAGCAAAGTTAAAGTAGACAAGATGGTAAACCATACATGGAATTAATATTGTTTGTTATATGGCCATATTTTTCTTCCAAAATCACACAAATAACTCGAATTATTGTTTGTTTTTTACGCTACAGAATTGCGTATAATACAATCATTAGTTAATCTCGAAATTACTATAGGCATAATAGTCCGAAATTACCTCTTACATCGATAATATTTGCCCAAAGAATCTTTTATTTCAAGCTTAAAATATCTGAATATTGATTACAAAATCTTATATCGGCATTGAAATTATAAGATAAGGGCCCGGATATCTTGACTATTTCCACCCCTATTCACGAATCAACGATACCTATTGCTTTGATATATCGTCAGGCCAAGAAAACGCAAAAACTAACAATCTTCAGATCTTTAAGTCATGAAAAATACAAAGACAAAAGTTTCCAATTCGCTGCATAAATCAGCAAATTCCCAACCGTTGATTTATTTTATTTTCAAACATCTCGATGAGACAAATCTATGACAGTCAACAAGGCCGTAGCGTAACGGAAACAAATGCTTCACATTTAAAACAACGTCCAAACTTAAAAAAAATTTTCAATGGGTTCAATCCAACCAAATCTCACTCTGCCTCCCTCATTTTAACATAGATTTTGCAATGGTCTTGCAGTTAAATCGATGACATTAGTTGCCACTGTACACTGAAATAAACAGCGACAATATTATCGATGGAAACAGCTCCTTCTGTGTAATTGTCTAATATAATATATCTGGAGATATTAATCACCTAATTAGTCTTGTTAATTGTTTTTAATGGAAGAGATATCAATATAGTTGAGGTGTCAATGAATTATTCAATAATAGACCGGAGTGATATAGCCCATAATGCGGATTCTGCTCTTTGTATCTGTACATTTTGACGTTTGGCAGATATGCATTCAAAAATGAAGCCTGCATTAGTTTGTTTCATGAAAAGTTATCATCCGCTTCCAGCATAATTTGATTTTACAGGAAATCAAGGAAAAGGGTTATATAGGCGAAAGCCTGTTCTATTTCTCTTATGATCAAAACGAACCAATGTCCAATGTCAGTTAGACGTCTTGTAAATCTCCTTATAGCTATATCACTATCGCAAAAACTGTAACGTATTGAAGAAAAATTTGACCCCGACACACAAATAGTTTTAGAAAACCTCTTTACAATCCTTTTAACATGTAAAACTTGCTTACGAAGACAGGATAGCGTAAGCAGAGTTTCCTTCAAAAGAGTCCATCTTTCCATAGGGATATATAATTAGTCTAGTCATTACCATTACAGCTGCGTGGGTTGATGAATACGCTTAATGTACACCTCTCATGAAATATGGTGTCATTGTTTTCGTATACAAATATTATTCAGAGTAACGGGATCAATCTATCTGATTGACAAATTAACCACAATGAAATCTTTATTTGGTGCCATATCTGAAAATATTTTGTTTGTTTAAGCCCCCGATTCAAAGGGAGATCAGTCTATCGGAAATTGTGTACTTGATTGACACTTCTCAGGAAATTTACAGATTATTATTTTACAAAGATGGAAAGCTTTTGCTCTCGGGTCATTTGGATTACGTCAAAAGAACTGTCATTACAGGCATTGAGCTGTTGAAAAAAGAAGTGATGCAAGGCTAAAGTAATATGGTGTTGATCAGTATTGATAATAAGAGAATATTCAATAAATATTGGTACTCAATAGGTTATACATTTTCTTTAATAAAGTCAACAAATGTTAATAATTGTCAAGTGCTAATGAGACGCTGAAACAAGATGTAAAGTAATATTAACGCGTCATTGTTATATGTATATACTCCTATTAAGGCCTGGGTCCGTAATTAAAGTATATCTAGTGTTATGAAGTAAAAAACAAAGTTATTACATGTACTCCATACATATATTCCTACATTAATAAATGATCCTACTACCGACAACTACCTAGTTTGCGATATCTGCTTCTGGTGGAAGCGGACGTTAACTTGTCCTCTACGAACAACCACCTAGTCAGCGATATCAGCTTCTGTTGGGTCACCAACCAACAACTACCTTGTCTCTGATATAAACTTCTGGTGAAGCGGACGCTAACCAACCAATCAAACTTAGTCTATACTGATATACTGATGATCTATACTGACAGTGGCCTATTTACGGGGAGACCCTCCCCTCAGGCCTGTGAAAGGTCTTATTTTGAAGTGAATATCAAGCTCATCTCAGGCTATCTGAAATCCGTTGGCTTCTTGGAGCCTGTGGCAGCCCCCAGTTCCCCAACCTAAAGGGGCTTCGACCCTTCGGACCTTTGCTCAAAAGGATCTCTTATTTCTGGCCTCCCCTCAGACTTTTTCTAGATACGCTCCTGAATGGCCTCTTAACATAGCCACGACGCCCGCCCGCTTATGTCATTGCTAGTCATGATACAGAACAGCTCACAGTTGGAGTCACCTTTGGGAAAACCAAGTTTGATTAATGAAGAATTTTTCAATTGTGTTGCCAGACAAATTTAGAATTATATGGGCGGTTTTACCGTTTGTTGTTTTCACCTATGAAACTTCGTCCGGACGTCAAATTTCTAGTGGAAGTAATGCGATTATCACTAGCTAAAATCTTCTTGCATTTTTATGAAAGGTCAACTTTAACAAATTTGTTCAAATTATGGTTTTTACACATCTTTACAATTTTTCTATTTTAGATTATCCACTGTTAAATGTCTAAATATATCCCTATTCGAATTAATCCGTACTTAATTTATCATTTGATATTTAAGAAATTGAAGAAGAGTAGGAAAATGATCAAAAAAATTATAAAATAGATATAAAATGGCATCAAAAGGAAATTATATTTTTGAAAAAGTAAATATTGATAAAGTTATTCAGTGTAATGATATATTGTTATCGTCGGTCTTTTTTAGTTATTAGTTTATAGATTTCTTTCAACCTTAGATAATCTCTCGAAAATTACAAAGCATAACAATTGTTCGTTTCTTGTTTGAAATATTGAAACACAAAATACTTCATTGATTATCTCTTGAAAATTCCAATTTATATGACAGAGTTTGATTGCTTCTTATATGAATAGCCTTTGAAGACAATCTGTTTTATTCTAATTGTTAAAGCTTTATATAGTCGCCCCAGATATAGTCTCTGACGCCCAAACTATTCCTATCTACGACGAGGTTATAGTCTGGGATGTTTCAATGAATTTCTGTTACGTCTTTTTCAAGGGAGATGACAACAATTTGGCATATTGGATCTACAAGTCTCAAACGACTTGTTTACAACCGAAACAATTGGCATCTCCACAAGTGTTGTCAGTTTATATTTGATATTTCTATCAGCGGATGTTTAATTTATCGATTTCTCGAGCAAAGAATTAAACTTCGAAGAAATTGTCATAATAACTGAATTATTATAATTAATGTTTCCATCACCAAAACGGATATGGATTCACAACCAATCAGATTCAATAGCCATTGTAGACTCGATCATTTACAAATGTTTTATAGAAGCTGCACGTAGATAAAGGGGTCTGGATGATAGAGGCTTCCCCAGACATTTTTGGCATTTATGGAAGAAAGTGGAAATACCATTTTTTGAGTATATTTTGAAATATATAGGTTTGAAAAAAAAAAAGACAACAGAAAACATAGCATCATAAAACAAATGAAAAACAAAGAAACAAAGAAACCTTCAACAAAGTGCACGTGGAAATCGTTCTGCATTTCTGGACAGCCTGAAGTGACAAGGATTTCTGTCGAAATGATATTCAGACAAGTACAATGCGCTATGGAATAAAATAATTCAAAGCGAAGTCCTTAGAACACCCTACAACGGTGTTAAATCGTAGACATTTTTACCAGTACTATTATGTAGATTGTCGGATGATTACTAAAGGTGCGGGCACACGAGAGGTCTTGGTCGGAGACTTTTGTTGCCGATTAGAGTCTTGTTTCAACGACTGGCACTGGCACACGAGGAGACAAAAATCTCCAGTCGGTCGTTTTTCACCTTGTCGTGCTGAGCATGCTATTGAAAGGAAAGGGAATCTGATTGGATGATGACGTCTGTCTTGCAGACTATAAAACTATCGGAGACGATTATCAAACTTATGTGATATTATAAATCCTGTTGGCGACACGATAATCTTGCCGTGGAAGGACGGGCACAGATTTTACTCAAGATTCGAGTCGGAGACAAAAATATCCGACCCATGACCGTTTGTGTGCCCACACCTTAAGTGTTTTGATTATTGGTAAATACTGCCATGATTTTGATACAATGTGATAGATAGTAAGATAGTAAATATATAACTATTTAAAAGAACATTGAGTAGAAAAGTAAGAGTCAGAATTATCTCCCATTTGCTCTAGATTTATAGACGTTATTCACGTGACACATCAGTGGTTTACTCATGTTAAGAAATCAGATGAAAACAAAGACAAAGTGAGGTGAGGGTACCAGATTCATTGTAAGGCGAACCACTGGTAACTTATGGCAGAATAGTTCATAATAAAGGGGCGTACTATAATCAATTTTCTTTCTGATTACATCCGATAACTGTCAAAAACGGATTAGAAATCCTTAATGACGCTGGGATTAACATGCCATTTCCAGCTTAAAACGTGGTAACCACGTTTATCACTGGTTTAAAATCAAATCGACAAACATAGGGGGAAGGAAACAGAGGATTTCCACGAATAATCTCATCTGACAAATATAGTTCTTTTTAAGGCAGTTTGATTTCCCAACCCTACTTAGGACCTTGGTCTTTTTTCCCTTACAAAAATAAACCTGCGTAGTATTTGACACAGAAAAACGGTCTTAAATGAAAAGTAGAGTTTGATAGTCTGAGATGGTCTAAGCTCGTTTATTAAAAATTGATGGAAGGATGCGTGACCACATCGCAGTGGCTGACCCCGAATCCATTCCTTTGTTAGCCTCTATCACCCAGTCCCTCTTTGTCTTCGACAAAAGATGGCCTGGACCGGTTGCTTAAAATCTTTGTAATTGACCTATACTACAGTTGCTATTGAATCTGATTTGTTGTGAATCCACATGAACTAGATTCAGCTTGAATAACAAACCACGAACTCTAACGAACCATGAACTAAAGTCAGCTTGAATTACAAACCACGAACTCTAACGAACCATGAACTAGAGTCAGCTTGAATTACAAACCACGAACTCTAACGAACCATGAAGGAGAGTCAACTTGAATTACAAGCCACGAACTCTAACGAACCATGAACTACAGTCAGCTTGAATTACAAGCCACGGACTCCAACGAACCATGAACGAGAGTCAGCTTGAATTACAAACTAGAACTCTAACGGAGCACGAACAAGAGTCAGCTTGAATTACAAACCACGAACATTAACGAAGCATGAACTAGAGTCAGCTTGAATTACAAACCACGAACTCTAACGACGCATGAACTAGAGTCAGCTTGAATTACAAACTAGAACTATAACGGAGCACGAACAAGAGTCAGCTTGAATTACAAATCACGAACTCTAACGAACCATGAACTAGAGTCAGCTTGAATTACAAGCCACGAACTCTAACGAACCATGAACAAGAGTCATCTTGAATTACAAACTAGAACTCTAACGGAGCACGAACTAGAGTCAGCTTGAATTACAAGCCACGAACTCTAACGAACCATGAACTAGAGTCAGCTTGAATTACAAACTAGAACTCTAACGGAGCACGAACTAGAGTCAGTTTGAATTACAAACTAGAACTCTAACGAAGCATGAACAAGAGTCAGCTTGAATTACAAGCCACTAACCCTAACGAACCATGAACTAGAGTCAGCTTGAATGACAAACTAGAACTCTAACGGAGCACGAACTAGAGTTCGTTTGAATCACAAAATAGAACTCTAACGAAGCATGAACTAGAGTCAGCTTGAATTACAAAATAGAACTCTAACGATGCATGAACTAGAGTCAGTTTGAATTACAAAATAGAACTCTAACGAAGCATGAACTAGAGTCAGTTTGAATTTAAAGCCACTAACCCTAACGAAGCATGAACTAGAGTCAGCTTGAATTACAAAATAGAACCCTAACGAAGCATGAACTAGAGTCAGCTTGAATTACAAACTAGAACTCTAACGGAGCACGAACTAGAGTCAGTTTGAATTATAAACCACGAACTCTAATGAAGCATGAACAAGAGTCAGCTTGAATTACAAATCACGAACTCTAACGAACATGAACGAGAGTCAGCTTGAATTACAAACTAGAACTCTAACGAAGCATGAACTAGAGTCAGCTTGAATTACAAGCCACTAACTCTAACTAAGCATGAACTAGAGTCAGCTTGAATTACAAACTAGAACTCTAACGGAGCACGAACTAGATTTCGGGGAAGGGAGGATTTGATTCTCCCAAATGTACAGACCTAGGGTGGAGCAGACACTTTATTTAGAAATTAGGATTAAGGGTCTTGATATTGGGTTTTCGTCTGTTCTTATTCTGATCTGAAATTAGAAAAAATAACTCGCCCGATGGGCGAGAAGTATAGTATCTGTTATGTACTGATTGTTTTTAATTTACTATGAACAATATTATCATTTAAGTTCTTATTTTTTGAATATTTGCCCATTGCTGTCCCTGAAGTTTGTAAATATGTTTTACCATTAAATGTGAAATCGTTTTGACTAAGAAAAATCTCTAAAAGCTGTAAAATTGCATCGTTGGGTCTGTTTGGATCTGGGTTTCTATTAAAAGCTTTACGAACTGCCGTTAAACCAGTAGTGTTATCGATATTGGTATACATAAAAGAAACGTCGATAGAAATTAAAATCGCATTAGAGGGAACTCGAAGATTTTTTATCTTATTGACAAAATCGGTTGTGTCTTTAAGGTTGACATGCTAGAGGTAGTAAGAAATGACCAATGTATTCTGACACTGCATATGACTCACTACCACAGTCAGATATAATCGGGCGGCCTTTAGGGATTTTATTCGAGATAAACCACTCCTTGGTTGGATTCTTGTGGATTTTAGGCAAAGTGTACAAATGTCTCTCGCGACAATCAGGTTTGGCAGACAGATAGTCATATTGTTTCTGTTTGAGATAACTAGTTTTGACTAAATCGGCAAGAATCTTGTTAATCATGTTAGCAGTTTAGCAGCGGCCTGAGGGGGTGTCCACGTGGATTTAGGAATAAACATTGTTCTAGCACCAAGTGGGGGGTGGTTTCGAAAAAAATATGTGCAGCTAAGATTTCGTTGAAATCGTTCAATGGATGGTCGGAGATAATTCAAGTTAGCTATCTTTGGTGTGGGAATAAATTTAAGTCCACGGTCTAAGATTGAATGCTGAAGGGGTGTGAGAATTTTACGGCTCAAGTTAGCTACAGGAGCCGCGGTGGCTCAGTGAGTTAGACGCTTGCTCGCTAACCTGAAGGTCCAGGGTTCAATCCCGGCATAGGTCGAGATAATACCTTCGGATTTTTCAACCCGGTTTCCCCCTTCATTCACAAGGTGCAGAAGAGTAGGACGTAAAACTCCATTCATTTCATTTCATTTTTCAAGTTAACTACAGTTTGGCCTAGCGGTGGCCTCTCAGTATTTTTATCCCCAGTAATTAGTTTAAAGACTTACTCGATGCTTGAAGCAGGTGTATCCAAAACAAATAAATGCTGTTTGCTGTTTCTGGAGACCATTGAAGATTATCAACTGGTTCGAATTCTTCTTCGTAGGGTGGTAATATTGTTGCGCTGTTGATACTGGACTCCATCATCATGTTGTTGAGAGTGCTGAGATTCTGTTGTGCTTTCTTCGAGATTTTATTTGAAATGGGTATACATGTGAAGAGGATCTTGGAGTTTGGGAAGGTTTTGTTGGCTGTGGCGATTAATTTCTGGGCTTGGTTAAAGGAGGTCTTTGGTAGCTGATCACGGTTGTTGAGGCCTACATGAAGAATAATGGTAGTAGGTTTGGGATCATGGTCGTATGATTCCAGGACTGACTGTATGTGATGGATTTGGGCACCGGGGTAAGAATGTATTTCAGTGTCTGAAATGGTTTTGGTAATTCGATTCAGGTTAGATGATCCAATAATTAAGGTAGATTTCTTTAGAGCGGGTAGCTTCCATAATGATTTGTCCTTGGTTTGGTGATAATACGGTTTGGTAGCGGATATAGTGCTCGTCGACGGTGTAATTGGTACTGGTTTGGTAATTGTTAGAATTGTAGCATTGGGAACGGACTGGGATCTGGTTCGAGGGGGGAAGGTCTGGATACACGTCTCGACTTGGATGGAGACTGAGGGGTGGTTTGCGAGTCCAAAAACGCACAGAAGGAAGAAAGGTTGGTGGATCCTGGATCACGTGGTGAAGATTCAGATGGTGTGGAAGGGGAAGACGAGTCTGAAAGTGAAAAGAGAAGGGGAGTGCCCTCTCTACGAGAGCGTTTACCTATGTCTGCTGGACTAGGAGTAGGTGAACTTCGGGCTCGTTTAGGGGTTTGGTTCGGCAGCGTCGTGGCTCTAGATGGTGCAGGTGTAGTGTCCATTTCAGATGGTAGAGATATGGTTACTCTGGTTTTTGTTTCGTTGATTGTTTGGTAGAACTTGATTACAGCTTGAGTGAGACGTTTCCCATAGGAGCGACGGGCCCAGGACAGGGCATGAGAAACGATGCGGTCGACGGCAGGTGATGATAAAGACTTGGTACGAATGGTGGTCAGCTTCTCTTGAAGTGTGGTTTGGTAATGGTCGATCAGGACCTGCGTAACCTTAGAGAGCCATGTCCGATTGAGGGATCTAATATTCGCGCCAACAGCTGATGTTTTCATTGCTGGACGGATAAAACTATCCAACTCAGAGACTTTTGAAGGTAAACGCTGGTTGGCCTTGCTGTTGAAGGGTAAGGATTGCCAAATGATGGAGGCACTGCAAAACTTGGAAGAACACCTTCACAAAGGGTTCTTCCTCCTTATGAGTGGGGACTGGTTGGCGTCGGTGGGCTGATAGTCGTTTCTGTTGTTGGTCAGGTCGATGGATACCTCTTGATTGGTAGGTGTTGTGGGTAGGTCGGCGATGGGGTGGGATATAGCTGGATGGGTTGGTTGGTGGTCGGCGATTGGTAGGTGGTAGAGGTCGATGGAAGACAGGGCCGTTGTAGGGTACGTGATATTGGACGATTAGTGTTTCTATGTCTGGCTTCTTGCCAGTGGTTGTTGTAGTTGGGGAGCATAATGGAAATAAGCAATTGACACGAACCGGTTTTCGAAATATTATCCTTTTTCAAGTGTCGAGGAATGGTTAAGTTTGAATTACAAAATAGAACACTAACGAAGCATGAACTAGAGTCAGCTTGAATTACAAATCACGAACTCCAACGAACATGAACGAGAGTCAGTTTGAATTATAAACTAGAACTCTAACGAAGCATAGCACCCTTTGTTGCCCCGTTCAATACAATCAGCAATCGAGCAGGCAACGGTGCATGTACTAGAATCAGCTTGAATTACGAACCACGAACTAGAGTCGGCTTGAATAACATTAACATAATACGAATTAGAACGAATATTATGCTACTGTATCAATAACCGAAATAACCGAGGCCAGACTAGATTGTACGGAGGGACAAGTAATATATCTGGAGGGACAATGGTGTATGGTGTTTAGTTGTAGTAATGCCTCTATTCCAGCCTCTGGTGAATACTTAGTTCATCCTGTAGCTACGGACCTGCAGAGCTGACTGGACTCGTATTACATTAATAGATCAGAATTGTATTTACTTATTTTCTGATGAGTCGGGAGGGGAGTAGATATTAACTTCCAAATACACACAGATTTAGAGGTATCAACTTGCGCTACGAAGTGCAGACTGTCACGATTGTAGAATCTAAAATAAATCGCCTAGCTTTCGTAGACCATCCAACTAATTTCTCAAAGAGAAAGAATAAAATCTTGCAAGAGTTGTCTCCCAATAAGCGCAATATGATTGATTATTTCGTGCAGCAACAGCTGGATAGTTCCCAGGACTGCGGATCAGGTAGTATAGTGAACAAGTTTTCACAGGTAGGTCAATGAAGTTGTTCGAACTTGTTTGAGTGTAAGTATCCTCTCAGATATGAGTTTCGTTTGTTTTCATCCTTAATCCCGTCACACAAACGCTTTAATTTCTATTCCATTTCTAGTGGTCACGTTCATGGTCATGGTGATAGATTTGGGAATGGTGATAGAGTTGGGAATAGTTTGCTGTAGCCGCCGTACAAGTTCTCTATTTTTCAGTTACTTGTGATGTTATCAATTTTCCCCCAAGAGTATACCCACGACACGACACGAGAAGAGTCCTTCCATCTTTTCTACAGTAGGCCTTTGTCCCCCTAGAAAAAAAGGTTTGTACCCCAACCCTATTTTTAACAAATCTAAAAAACTGATTTTTATAAGTTTTTGTCTCAAATATGTTTCAGAATGCACCAAATCAATTTATTTTTTCTAAGATTTTTTTGAGAGAACCCTCTCAGACTAGAAGCTTACGACTATGACACCTCCACAGAGTAGCCAAATTTGGACTACAGCCTTAACAGTTGAGTAATTCTGCGCCCTGCGCCCACAGTCTGCTTTTGTAGCTTTTTTTAACTGTTTTCGTCAAGATCCTATATTGACATTAATCAATAGTAGGTGACAATCACATGCTAGGTTAATGTAACAATATACATGCCCTATACGTTGATATGATATGGTTGTCTAAAATCTGTCTACCAGCTGTTACGTTTACCAGTTGATAGAAATTGTATATTATTGACAAGAAATGTGAAAGCAAACCACAGTGACATTTGAATCATCAGATTATGTAAATCAGACTGCTATTTAGTGAAATGTAACATTTTATGTGTACTTTCACTCAAAACATTCGGTGTTTGTTCTATTATAATACATAATACAAATTAATTCACGTACAAGCATAACCAGTTCTCTTCTCTTAACATCTTCCAATGTCAAGTTATGACGAACTTCGTCTTATACCTGCAATAGCCACCTTTCTTGTATCATGGAAGTTTGTAAATGAAGCGATTTTATTGTATTGTACGCTATATTGAATAGAGGGCTATGATTGGCTGTATTCGTTGGCGTACAATTCAATCAAATCGCTGCATTCTGTGATACAAGAATACAAGTTTGTAATAGCTTGTCATGTTGAAGTTTGTAATAGCTTGTCATGTTGAAGTTTGTAATAGCTTGTCATGTTGAAGTTTGTAATAGCTTGTCATATTGAAGTTTGTATTAGCTTGTCATGTTGACGTTTGTAATAGCTTGTCATGTTAAAATTTGTAATAGATTTCAGACCTATGGCGGTACATTTTTCATGAAGTTCAATTGATACAGATACTATTTGCTGTTTCTCGACACCGAGGCAGATTATAGTATTTCGTCCTCGCATTATTCAAAGATCTTAAATTCCTATATTCAACTTCACACATGTGTCGTATATAGGGGGGAAACGAAACCGTTAAAAAAATACAATATTAAATACTCGAAAATAGCTATCGCAGACAAGTAATAACACAATTTGCAAAGTAAGAAAAGCAAAGTCTTATTGAAACATCAAGTAACATCGCTTTCTCTATTTTTGATTAACCCTGTCAGTACTGTTTCATTGTCTTTTCCATTCTTCAAGATTAAGTCTTCCCGTTCTAATTGTTCTATATGACTAACTTTATCATTTAGTTCCACTTCCAGCATAGTGTGGTCATCTGCCGCCCTTCTTTCTATAAATACACCACCAATTAAGGCTGCTATACATCCCAAAAACACCATACCTCCTGCCAAAAAAATATAAAATACTGTTGAGGTCTAACTAAAAAACACAAACAAGCGCAATGATTGTGTAGAAAAAGTTTAAAGTTAAAACGTATCCACTTAAGTAATGTAATAAAACATACTTTGCGTTTAGTGACGACATCGAACACTTATTCTAATGGAATTGCAGGAACCACAGATGTCTGTTTGAAAATTGGAATGGTGCGAATTGATGCCATCAGTGTTCCCGATACACGACAAAATTTACAAAACATCTTTACAAAACAAAACTTAGCCGCTTCTACCCCTTTAAGCTAAATCTGTGAGTACACCATGTAATAAAGGTGACATTTATACCAGTGATTATTGATAGTAGATCATATCATAATCTATGATATCTATATCTGTGAACTTCATACACACCATGAGATAGGTGAGATATAGATCATATTGTGCCAGTAATAAAAAATAAAACAATATACACATACCAGCTAAATAGAAAACGTACGACAAACAACCAGTTCTTGACACAATTTCACCTTTAATAAAAGAAATATATTATTTCGTAATTTTAGTTATGTAAATATTCGTTCGTTTTTAAGACATATTAAACTATGTTCTAAGGCTCGAAACGAAATATGAGTTTCGTTTGTTTTCATCCTCAATCCCGTCACACAAACGCTTTAATTTCTATTCCATTTCTAGTGGTCACGTTCATGGTCATGGTGATAGATTTGGGAATGGTGATAGAGTTGGGAATAGTTTGCTGTAGCCGCCGTACAAGCTCGAAACGAAACTTCTCTTAATGCGTTATCATTGAATTAAAGATAAAGGATATCAAGTTTGAACCAAATTTTGGATATCGAATCCCAATCAGAACTTTAGAATTTAAAAAAAAAGACCTGAATTAATCCGAATTTATAAAATCAATAAACTTTGTCTGAAATCAGAATACTAGAGATGCCTTAAAATGACACTTGGAGCAAGCCACTCATTTTATGCATTCTATGCCTTAAGCATGTTTCTTTTTTTTTTGGCTGACAGTTTCAAGTATATCGTATTCGATACAACATGAACCACCGAGTAAGCAAGGTCTGATGCCTTCGAGAAACTTTCTGTACCAGGAATGCCTTGAAATATAAATCTTTCAAAAGCGGCCAAATTCAAGCATTCCCCATGCCACTTATAAATACAAGTTTGACTTTATTGGCAAAAGGTTTCAACTATATCTTACTTGATACAACAGGGACGGTCAGGTAAGCAAGGCCTGATGCCATGGCTAATATACCAAATCCTTGAGGTAGATATTTCAGTTCCAGGAACTCAACTGTAAGAGGGCTGAGTAATGTCGTGGCGCCACCTGTATATAGACCTAAAGCAGCACTATACATCATCTGATTCGTCCATTCTGATGAGTAGGATGGAAAAGATAAGTGCAACATAGCGGTTAGTCCTAATAATGATGCATGTAATAATGATTTGTTGACGTGTCCAGCGATTAACCCAATCACCAGTCTGGAAATCAAGCTACATATACCGTAACCAGTAAATAAGGTCGCTGCTTGTATTTTCGTTGATCCTTGCTCTTCAGCGTACATGGGTAGAAAAATCATCACGACGGATTCTGCCGCTGACCAAGCATACATGCTGAAAAAGTAGCACATAAAGCCAAAATTCCTCATGATATGTAATATATCAGCCAGAGTGTCCGTTACAGTTACACGTTCTTTTGATTCTGTCTCTTTCGATGTTTCCTTTCTCTTTGAAAATGGCGAAGGCCTTATCAACATAGCCAACGCTGTCACGTTGAACAGCACTGCTCCCATTAGCAGGAACATTCCGTGAACCAAATACTTCTCGATCACACTGTGAATAATCAATGGGCCAATGAACATTCCTAATCCAATTCCGGATGCCGTTAATCCAGATGCCAATGCGCGTAATCGATGGAAATATTCGCCAATGGCAACAAAACTAACAACATACACAATACCAAGTCCAAAACATGAAATATGAAAGAAACAAAATTGATTTTATAATTTGAAAAACAATGTTAAAATAAAACAACGCATTGAGTTGGAATGATACGTTATGGATCGATATGGTGCTCTGATAAGCGTGGGTTTTAAATCCTAATCACCCAACCGTCCAAAAGCATACCCACTTTTGTATTTCCGGTTGCGGCGGTTGGGAGGTTGGAATTTAAAACCCATCTACTGGGGGGGGGGGGGGATTATTATCACAACAAGTAGGTTTCAGAAGGCCAAACCAGTGTTAAGGGGCATCTTCGGGACAAATGTATATAAGCTTAATCATGTGTGCATGTATCCGAACGGGGGATCGGTCCTAACAATAAGTGTCCTCTGAAACTAACCAATCCTTGTCATACCCCATTCATTTGCGCCAAAACGTACCGACTGTACGGTACGTGATCAGCAACATATTAAGCTCTTGTTAAAAAGAAGGGAACAAAGTTCAACTATCAATACGAATGAATACACAGAACTTGTTTAAGGCCATGTATTACACAGTTAAACTCTACCATAACCGTTAAATAATCAAGATCTTCCACAGCATTTAGATTATTTACGTCAGTTAAATCATTTTTAACAAACAAAATAAAATCTGTATAGTTTATTTGCGTTTTCTTTTACACGTTCTATCATTGAATAATGTGTATATCATGTATGCTGACCTTTAGGGTACGTAACAATATTTATACAACAAAATATATGAGCATATTTATCTCCATTGCTTACTGGGAATTAACATAAAATATCTACCTGTGATGACACCATAAGATACTATCAGAGCCCAGACGGATTTACTTAAAGATGCCATACTACAACCAAACAGCATCACAATCCCAGCAGTTATACCAGTATATTTACATCCCATTCTGTTTGTGATTATACCGCATATTGGACCTTTAAAATAACCGTATGTGTTAAATATTACATAGATCAAAAATATAAACAAATTTGGCTCTTGCATTGCTAATTATCACTAACTAATATACTTCATGGCAAAACTACTATATTGCTCGTGTATCTAGTATCAGATATATAATTTACGAAATAATACTTATGTGCCTTAAAGGGACAGGTGCGCAATTTTTTCTCTTTTTTTTTTTTTTTTTTTGACTTATCATACTCTGAAAAGGGATTTGTTTTAGCTAAGCCAAACAGTAATAATTTTCAAAGCTCACCGCCGAAATACAGCTCTATTTGAGTTGTATCAGCTGGTAACATGTGTTAGCCAATAGGAAGCAAAAATATAATAGGCTTCATTAGAAAACAATGCATTTTAACATTTTATATTGGAGATTCGTGAAACATTTTGATACTGAAATAAACAAATCTCATTCTATTGCACTCAACTGACCGCGTGGTGAAAATTTCATGTAAGGTTAAGGTATACATACATATTCTGTATGACTGCACAGTTAACCATCTAAATTATAGTACAATGTACTTTGAAGGTTTAAACAGATTCAATACTGAACTATAGCCTGAGCAGTTTATTCAGTAATCTTTAAAAGCCACCAACCTGCCATTAACGATACACTTATATTGATTGAACCAATCCATTCCAAAATGGCAGCCACAATGATACCGGTACTGTGTTGAACGACTCCTAGTAGAAACACTAGCAAGAAACTGACTATTAAGACTGCCCATGCCCATCCACCATCCATATTCTTATCCTCATAATGTCCCAACATATCGAGTCACTACTAGCCACTATCAATCCTTCATTTCGAAAATTCTTTGAGATAACAAACGTACGTCATTGAATGTAGAGTATAGAGTATAGTAGATTCTCAACAAGGATAACACACGTTGAAAACAAAGCAATCGATTATACTATAGTCGTCTGTACAGACACATATCAATATTACCAATAAATAATCCACAGTTTCGACCTTCAGTTCAAATACGCCAAATACAAATATCATATATTGGCATACCATTGGTGGCAAAGATGATTACATGATAGATCATATTCTAAAGTATCGTGGTGAATCAAAGGTCACTACCGCTTACAGTATATCATATGTGTCAACAGTTGCCTTATTTAATAATCCTTCTTGGCCCAAATAAACATCATATTTGTGTGGATTAAAAAGCATTTGTACAACGTTTAAGACATACGATTAGTAGGGACAACTTGTAAATGTGCAAGCAAACGGATTGCGCCAAATATAATCCATGCGCCTTCGCGGTAACTTCATTTCAGCATTATGCTTTTTTATTTCTGTATTTTATTTATGACTGTAAAATAAACATTCTGAAAGTCTTTAAGGTGAAAAGAGCTGTCTCGACAATTCCCTGTCCTGCGACTGACAGTTGGGTTTCTAGGAAACACAAGGTGAGGGGGGCGTGCAGGGGTCACAAAAATTTTCATGAGGGGGACAGGTTTTCGTAAAAACGCCACTGGCGACTAATTCAGCTATACAGTCGTATGTCCATTGCTATTAATGAATGGCCAGGAGAAACAATTTATGCCTGTCTTTGGCAACGATACAGAAAATCTAAACTATACTTTCCAATCGCTGAATTTATTATCTTGGGTTGTTTTTTGAGTTTCAGGGCGTCAATACACTGTAACACACTGTTATTCTAGGATGAAAGAGAAACATGTTTACTTGTCTCTGCAGTTGTTATGTATGCATCGTTAACAATTTATTGTGGTGTAATAGCGTATTTGAGATCGAGGCTGACTGGTGATGTCTCATTTATAATACCAGCTAAAGACTTAAATAAATTGTAGTGAGTTTAACACGACAGATATGACGGCGAGAAAAGCACAGCCACTTTTCAATGTTATATACCCGTAACACAATATCTAAAACAGATAAGAGATCCAAAAAAATATATCTCAGCCTCGGCATATTTATATAATCATTATTTAAAATCCATTTTTATCATGTGGTTGGTTTAACCTTGTAATTTTCCACAATTGCAATCACTAACAAAACACAAAACCGCATTCGAAACCATTAACAAACATTAACAACCACTGACAAAACACTAAATCGCATTAACAACTACTGACAATACATTAAATCACACTTACACTCACTGACAAAACACTAAACCACATTAAACAACCACTGACAAAACACTAAACCACGTTAACAACCACTAACAGAGCACTAAACTACTTTTACCGCCTCTGACAAAACACTAAACTGCATTAACAACTACTGACAAAACACTAGACAACATTAACAACTAATGACAAAACACTAAACCACATTAACAACTACTGACAAAAGACTAGACCACATTAACGACTACTGACAAAGCACTTACCGATATAAAACATCAATGACAAAACACTAAACCACATTAACAACTACTGACAAAACACTAAACCACATTAAACACCAACTGACAAAACACTAAACCACAATGAATAACCACTGACAAAACAGTTAACCACACTTAAAACCACATTAACAACCACTGACAAAACACTAAACCACAATAAATAACCACTGACAAAACACTTAACCACACTTAAAACCACATTAACAACCACTAACAGGGCACTAAACTACAATCACAACCATTGACAAGACACTCTTAAAACCACATTTACAACTACTGACAAAAAACTAAACCACATTAACAACCACTGACAAAACACTAAACCACACTTAAAATCGCTGACAAAACACTAAAGTACCTTTACAACAACTGACAAAACACTAAACTACACTTAAAATCACTGACAAAACACTAAAGCATATGAATATACATAATACTAAACCACATTAATAACCACTGACAAAGCACTAAACTACAATAAACAACCACTGACAAAACACTTAACCGCATTAACAACTACTGAAAAACCATTAAACCACACTTAATATCACTGACACCACATTAACAACTACTGACGAAACACTTAACCGCTTTAACAACTACCGACAAAGGATTACACCACACTTATAATCACTAACAAAACACTAAGCCACATTAACAAACACTGACACAGTACTTTCCGATATTAAACACCACTGACAAAGCACTTTCCGATATTAAACACCACTGACAAAGCACTTTCTGATATTAAACACCACTAACAAAGTACTAAACTACATTTACAACAACTGACAAAAACCTGAACCACATTAACAACCACTGACAAAACACTAAATCACATTAACAACTACTGACGAAACATTACACCACCCTTATAATCACTGACAAAAAACTAAAACACATTTACAACTAATGACAAACATTACACCACACTTATAATCACTGACAAAACACTAAAACACATTTACAACTAATGACAAACATTATACCACACTTATAATCACTGACAAAACACTAAACCACATTTACAACTAATGACAAACATTACACCACACTTATAATCACTGACAAAACACTAAACCACATTTACAACTAATGACAAACATTATACCACACTTATAATCACTGACAAAACACACAACCACATTAACAAACACTGACAAAGCACTTTCCACTAACAAAGTACCAAACTACATTTAAAACTACTGATAAAAACCTAAACCACATTAACAACTACTGACAAAACACTAAACCGCATCAACAACTATTGACAAAACAATAAACTACACTTAAAATCACTGGCAAAACACTAAACCACATTTACAACTACTGACAAAACAATAAACTACATTAACAACCACTAACAGAGCACTCAACTACATTTACAACCATAAAATACTAAACCACATATACAACCACTGACAAAACAATAAACCGCATCAACAACTATTGACAAAACACTAAACTACATTAACAACCACTGACAAAACACTAAACTACATTAACAACCACTGATAATGAGCTAAAAGTCTTTTACAACTACTGACAAAACACTAAACCGCATTAACAACCTCTGACATGGCACTAACCGACATTTAAAACCAATGACAAGCCCCCTCGCAAAGCAAATTGTGACTGTGGGAACCCAGAATTAGAATTCAACAATGTATTTATGAAAATGTTATATAAATGCTAAGGCTTGCTTAATAATATAAGATAATCTTACCTAACAGATACATCATGCCGACATGACTCGAACCTACCCACGATACAGCAGTGATGTCCCACTCCATTTCGTTTAATAAAGCAGCTACAATGATGCCTGTACTATGTTCCACTATTCCAATTAACAACATGAACATAAAGGCCAGTCCTAGAATTATCCATGATCTTCCGCCGTCTGCTTTATCGCTTTCCATTTTATATTAAATAAAGCATTTCTGTCGACCAGTGTGCTTTTTATGTCACAGATATGAGTAAATAGAGCATGACAGTAGAGTGTTTACGTTTTAATATCGTTATGTAGTGAGTACAGTAAACTAATGTCAATAACAAAAAAATGTCATTGACATAATATACACCCTTTTAGAATGAATACACAAATTTAAAGTCTTAAACTTGGTCAACAAATGTATATATTCATCAGTTGGACTTAAAATAAATCCTTATATGACAATATATTATATTCATTAAACTAAAAAATAAGCACTTGTTTCAAAATTACTTAATTTAATGGATTATTATTGAGTGATATGGATTTATCAGATTATAGAAAGACTCGGATATATAGTTTTGAAACCAGATAAGTCCACTGATGAACAAAGACTCATTTTGGCCATGTTTTAAAGTTTCATTTTTTTCAGTCATTCTAAGAGGTAGTATACCTTAAAAGAAGACCCCCCTGCAGTCATGCGATCCAAAAGGTTTTCGTTAAGCCTTTACCAAAAGGCCAAACGCATCAAGAAATACATAGAAATATGCCACTGTTAAAGTAGTGTTCAATACATCAGTTGTATAGAAATACCACTGTTAAAATAGTGCCCAATACATCAATTGTGGAGCGATATAGAAATACCACTGTTAAAATAGTGCTCGATAAATCAGTTGCAGAGCGATATAGTCATTCCACTGTTAAAATAGTGTTCAATACATCAATTGTAGAGCGATATAGAAATTCCTCTGTTAAAGTTGTGTTCAATACATCAAAAGTAGAGCTATAGAGAAATACCACTGTTAAAATAGTGCTCTATACATCAATTTAAAAGCGATATAGAAATACCACTGTTAAAATAGTGCTCAATGCATCAATTATAGAGTGATATAGAAATACCACTATTAACATGGTGCTCATTACATTAATTGTGGAGCAATATAGAAATACCACTGTTAAAATAGTATTCAATACATCTATTGTAGAGCGATATAGAAATACCACAGTTAAAATAGTGCTCAATACATCAATTGTAGAGCGATATAGAAATACCACTGTTAAAATTGTTCTCTATACATCATTCTATTGTTGAGCACTAGAGAAATACCACTGTTAAAATTGTTCTCTATACATCAATTGTAGAGCAATAGACAAATACCACTGTTAAAATAGTGCTCAATGCATCAATTATAGAGCGATATAGAAATACCACTGTTAACATGGTGCTCAATACATCAATTGTAGAGCGATATAGAAATACCACTGTGAAATAGTGCTCAATAAATCAGTTGTAGAGTGATAAAGAAATACCACTGTTAAAATTGTGCTCAATACATCAATTATAGAGTGATATAGAAATACCACTGTTAAAATAGTGCTCAATGCATCAATTATAGAGTGATATAGAAATACCACTATTAACATGGTGCTCATTACATCAATTGTGGAGCAATATAGAAATACCACTGTTAAAATAGTATTCAATACATCTATTGTAGAGCGATATAGAAATACCACTGTTAAAATAGTGCTCAATGCATCAATTATAGAGCGATATAGAAATACCACTGTTAACATGGTGCTCAATACATCAATTGTAGAGCGATATAGAAATACCACTGTTAAGATAGTACTCAATACATCAGTTGTAGAGTGATAAAGAAATACCACTGTTAAAATTGTGCTCAATACATAAATTATAGAGCGATATAGAAATACCACTGTTAAAAAAGTGCTCAATACATCAATTGTAGAGCTACATAGAAATATCACTGTTAAAATAGTGCTCACTTCATCCATTGTAGAGCGATGTAGTAATGTTGAAACAGAACCCGAAACATGTTGCTGTTGAGTAACGGCATGTTTCAAGTTCTGTTTTATATTTCCATATTGAAACCATTGAGCCGACACAACGATGCTTCAATTACTTGAAATGGCTGATATGATTTGTTTCAACTAATCAAAGGTTGCAGTAGCAGGGGCAGCAATTGCTTCCAATCCTAACCGAAACTGGCTCCATTTTATTTCTTTCCTTTCAAAACTATATTCGCGGCTTTAAGACTGCAGGGGGCGCATGGTGTGTTGATTGTTTGGTTTGAAAATCATGTGACTTCATGAATATTTATTATCGCAAATGTTAAGTTTACTTGTATACCACGTTGAAAATAAGAATTGAAGAGACGAGACGATGGAGATTTATAAGAAAATTTATTAAAGACCTAATCATAATTCTGGAAATAGTTGAAATAATTTCAATAATAAGATGAATAGCAATGGTATCATCTAACAGTGTTTCGTTGCATGTATTGTATAGACGCAAAGAAGAGAATAGTTATTAGTCCATTCAATTTAATCAATTCTGTGCTAGAATGACAAGAGGAATCTATTTCTTATTGGGAACCGTTTCAGGGTGAACAATCATTTCTCTTTGCACACATCTTTTGTAGCATCCATTAGCAATCTTCCAACAAGGCCATTCACATTTATAGTAATCTTCATCAGTACCAATGTCGTCACAGTGGTAATATCTAATACAGTGGTTTAATGTCCGGTGACATTTATCATCACAGGAATCAAACTGACTAGCAACTACACCAATCATGACCACCATTAAACATAATACCAATTTTACTTCCTGAAATGATAATATATCAAACTACAAGTTATTATGGATAGATATTCCAATTTGGTTTGTAATATTGCGCAGCAATGACCGATGTGGTGCCTGGAAGGGTATGCTTATTCTTCTAGACACCTGATATCACTTTTCATTATTGATATAATTCATCGTATGAATAGTTTATTTGCTGATACCAATGTACATGTATTGTCAAACTATTATTTTAGATTCTGAGTTTATTTTTGCGTAATAAGGCTTTTTTTATATGTATTTATAGATATATAGATATGCGGTAGAATGAGACGACTCTGTTATTCTGTTTGTTCGACTACTCTGAAAGTTCACATCTTTGCACATGTTATGGAGGATTTTACATATTAAACATATATTTCAATACAAAATGTTACCGCTGAATTATTCTATTTTTTCCACTCGTCTCATATTCGATGGTCTATGTCCAATTAGGAGGCAAAAAATAAATCAACATTGAATAATTGATAGATTGAAGTATATATCATTCAAATTGACTGTATATTTCCTGTTCGTGCCTATTTCCAACATAATCTAGATGCACTGAACCAGTGTTTTTAGGTAAAAATGAAATAAACTTACCATCTTTTAAACTTTTGGTAGACACTTTCCAGCTCTTCGTCTCGATTTCAGTGCAGTTTATTGGCATTGCTGGTATATATATACTCATACGGGGAAATTGAAATAAATTTATTTCCTGTTATTTTGAAATTATCACAGCATATTTTAGGGTTTCGAGTGTAATATTTAATGGCTGTGGGATTGTTATCAGAGAAAGGTTAACTCAGGGAGATTATGTAGGAGTAGGAATATACCATTTAGCCTGTATCTATCTCTATAGCCATCTTCATAAAGGCATTACGAACTTAGTCTAATACCTTGACTACAATAGAAACCCTTCTTGTATCACAATATGCAGCGATTTTATTGGATTGTACGCCAGTGAATACAGCCAATCGGAGCCCTCGACAGCGCATGGATACAGACGTAATTTGCATATTTATTAATCTGTGCTATGAGTTCATATCGTTTTTCATGAACCCGTGTTATGAGTCTGAGGTAAGAACTGTTGCGTGATATAATCAGTTATGCGCCTGTAATAGCTGCTTCAAATTTGAGGAAAATCTCAAAGGGTTTGTAGTCCCGGGGCCAGAACTCATCATTGTAAGTCACTTCTCAATGTTTGTGTACGTCTGGCAACGCCTTATTCAGGTAATTCAGGAATCATGGGCCTTGAAATTAGGGTTGGGCGACATAGCCACACTGCCTTAATCAGAAACATCACAGAGATAATAGTAGAAATAACCCAGACTTTTGGTCGCAAGACTATGTATGTGTGTAATTGGCGTTTGTCAGCTGGGAGAGCAAATATTACTATAAACCTAATCATTAATTAATGAGTAAGTGATATGGTCCTCGAAATACTTGTTTTAGCCGCTGATAAAGCTCAAGTTCGTTTATCTGTGACCACAATCCAGAATCCCCAGGTACATGACGTCATGGTAATAATGAGCTTTTCATGTTAGAACTCAATTTCAGTACAGTTCAGAGGAAAATGCCTTTGACTATCTTCACAATGCCAAGCTATTACGAACTGTGTCTTATGCCTTGACTGCAATTCGCAGAATTCAGCGATTTAATTGGATTGTACGCGTTCGAATACAGTCAACCAGAGTCCCAATAAAGACTGTAAACATTATGCCTTATGATTTACAGACTTTCTTTCGAGGGTTCTCATTTTCTGTAGAGCAAAATGCAATCAAATCGCTGCATTGTCAAACATCAGTGACACAAAAATGTTAGCCGTCGCAATCAAGATATTAGACGCAGTTCGTCATACCTTGGCATTGTGAAGATGATCTTTGTCATTCTTTGACAATGGAGGGAGTAAAAACCGTTGATTGTACTTGACAATTTCTTTCAATGGAGGCCCCAATGTATCCTTCTTTTTCGTGCTCTGAAGATTTACAAGTCCGAAACATCTACCTCAATGCCAGCTTTGGTGGGTATTTTGACAGTTAACAGTCACTTTCATTTCAAAATTACTATATCAGAGGCTGGAATAGAGGGGGTGTTTTGGTCTAGAGATTAACAAGGTGTGGTCTCTTGTACAATCTCACATATTTCGCATCTGACGATTTTTCGTAATTAAACACAAGTTTTTAAAACAGTTTTATTATATTTTAACAATTAACATATTTACATAATTTATATATTTATTCAATACATAAACCTTTTTGATTATAGAATCGGATTCTTTTCCTTTGATTGTTTGAAAGAAATCCTGTTGCTTTTCGCTGTCTATGTCTCTCTCTTATGACGACTTGGTTCTTTCTTTGTTTTCTCTGGATGCTTTCTTTCTTTCGATATATACAGTATCTTCTGTTTTTTGTTTTGTTTTTTTTTTGTTTTTTATTCGTTTTTTTTTTTTTTTTTTTATTTCTGTGTTTGTTTAATTTTTTTAGCTTTTGTTTTTTATTTTTTTTTTTT